TTCACTCTTAACCACCCAACTCGGCGGCGGCACAAACCCCAACCACGCCGCCGCCGCGGCAGCAGACGCACTCACCCACCCCCACCCCAGCACTCCCCCCCACCAACACCGGCGGGACATACACCCCCCTCAACCACTCCGCCGGCGCAACCAACCTCTCCGCACTCGCCCTGCCCCCCCGACACCCACACCGACACCCACACAAAAGATAACCACAATCGTATCCTCCGCCTCGGGCGGGTCATCCTCATTCACGCGCCTTGGCAGGACCATGGTCAACTCCCCCGTGCGCTGCTGCCGGGGCGGGAGGCGCGCGTTCCAGAGGAGGGTGCCGACGGTCCAGGAGGCGTTGAGGCTGAGCATGTGCACGGAGGCGGTGTGCAGGGCGGTGCGGTTGGAGAGGGTGTAGCTGAGGACTTCGCCGTCGTGGAAGTGGAGGGTGTTGTTGTTGTTGTTGTTGTTGTCGACGGGCGCGGGCGCGGTTGGGTTTGGGGAAGAAGCGGACGGTGAACCCAGTCTGCGGGGAGCGGGGAATGGAGTTGGTAGGTTGTTAGTGCCCGGACAGCTTGGACGGTTGCGACCTGGCGGATTACAGCGCTGAAGCGTTGGAGGGCGTTGGGGGCTTCGATGTGGATGCGTGGGGTGCGAGGGAGCGGCCGCCCCTTGTGGTCGGCAACGACTAGATCGCATCCGTCGATTGTCGCGTTCATGAGATCCCGGCCCTGCTAGGGCTCAATGTCTATGCGATTAGGGCCCCAGGGTCCGCTGCTGCTATCCGGGGACAGTGCTCTCTCAAGCACTGCCCCGTTGATCATTATCCAAGGCGAATTCAGTCGAATTCCAGTAGTCATATTTTGGTACCACGGCCGCAACAACCCCAGCAGCTTGAGAAGTTCCTCCGAGCTGCTGGATGAATCCGTGTCGAGCGCTACAACAACGTGGTTACGCCAGAAGAAATGTGCGTAACTAGCGAATGCGAGCTCAGCATCGTTCCAGAGGTGATGTTCGCCGCCCTTTTCTCCAGTAGCTGGAACGCCCTTAAACCGAGAAGGTACCCGCAGAGGCAACGAGAGGTACAGGATGCAACTCTGAGCCAATGTCGCGTGGCAAGCCTGCATAATAAAATCACCCAGCCAGTCCGGCTTTCTGTGTCCGTTCTCGAACGGGCCAGCCAGAAGGAAGTCCTTGGCAGTTTGGTGGATAAAGTAGACCCTGCCGTTGTAGACATCCAAGAAGTACTTACAGGCATCCAAAATCCAGCTCCGGAAACAGCGCTCGTCCTGCAACCCCAAGCCGTGTTTGCTGCCGTTGGGGAGGTCCCGGATGTTGAGCGCGATGTTGACCTCCTGAAGAGTGAGCGGCCTTGCAGCGGCAAGGACGATTTGAAACAAGTTTCTGACATCGCCTCTTTGACATTCCCGCACTCGGTTGAGAAACCCGACGTATGCCTCTTTCACGGTTGCCGGCAACTTCTTGAAGATGTCGATCCAACCACGGGGCACTCGCGGCAAGCCGTCCTTCATCTTCAGCTCGAGGTAGTCGAATAACAGCTTAACATACAGATACGTTCTGTCCTCCCGCGGACGGATAAACTCGAGTAATTCCTGTCTGAGGTTCGTGTCTTGGATGCACCGCAGCGCAAACCCATCGAAGCGGGCTATGACGACTCTCTCGATGTCTTTGCTAATGTGCTTTACACAATGTGGGTCCTCTTCTAGCTTTAGAACGGTGACGCTAGGAGAGAATATTAGCGGCGGCGCTGTAACTAGAGGGCGTGTGGTGAGGAAGAATTTCATCCGTGGGCTCGGGCCGGCAAGATACTCGGTCAGCTTCTGCCATAGTTTGTCGGCCGAGTCCGGCTCGCATTCATCGAACCCGTCTAGAACAACAGTAACACTCCCAGGCTCGCAGTCTTGGGTAGCCTCCTCGAGCACGCTCCAGAGCAGATCGAAATTGCATCGCACCTCCTCAGGGAGAAGATGGTCGACTCTGGCACAAATTTTATCGACGAGGTCTGGCTGGCCCTGAAAGAGCTGATCGAGAACCCGGCAAAGCGCCGTCGTGGCTCCGTCCTGGCCCTTACCGTTGTCCTTGAAGAAGAAGGCGCAGATTGAAGAGGGCCTCCATTTTGGCAGTTCGGTCAGGAGGGACTTCGACAAAACTGACTTGCCCGATCCCGGGATCCCCTCCAGCACAAAAACACCAGAATCTCCGGTGGCCCACTTGACAAATACGGGATGTGTGAGGACCCCTGCCCCAGTACCGACTTCCGGCGAATCGATGCTGTCGAGGTAAGCCTGATAGACGGCGTAGGGGAAGTCGTCGGGAAACTTGAACTTGATCAGCGTCTCCAACCGCTGTTTATGCAGTGCATCCTTGGAGAGAGTGTGGAGCTTGTCCAACAGATGCTGTTCGTAGTTGAGATTCATGTACTCTTCCAGGCGCTTTTCGCTCTCCTTGATCTCAGATAGCATGCAGTTCCAGTCGTCGAGCTTGAGAATGTCCCTGGAAATTGTAGTCAAGGGGCGGCAGTAGGTGTAGTATGCTCGCAGGTGATATTCGATGAGGAGTTTGTAGAGAGCGACAATCTCGCCATAAATCGCATGTCGGAGCGCCGAAAAGCTTTGGGGGCTTTTCCAATACTCACGGTTCAGGAGGTCAAGAACTTGACCGTACCATGTGAACCGTGACATGACGTACGAGAAGCCGGATTCTCTGGCAGCAATCTGCTCGGCGTGGTTGACGATGATCTGCTTCGGTTAGTTTGAATACCCCCGGCGGCCGGCTGTGAATACATACAGGCAAAACAATGGTGCAGATGCCGGTCCAGGCCAGTGACGCGGGCGGAGAGGAAGCGAGAGCAAGGCCGACAACGTCTCTAGTTTTCTGGATGAACTGTACAGCGGAAGAGACGATGCTTTGGCTGGCAGAGTCGCGTCTTGCCAGGTCCATGTATTCTTGAGCCAGTCTCGTGAAGCATTCCTCGCCGGCGTTACTGTGCTCCTCATCATCACTTGGTGGCTCCTTTTGGGCCCGCGAGGAGCGACGCGAGTCAGCAAAGCCATCTTTTGTGACGGTATTGAAAAGTGTCTCGTAGTTCTTGACCAAAGGTTTTAGCGCATCGTCGCTTCTGACTTGATTGTATGCTTCCTCCCAGATTTCGCAGGCAGCCAGGATGACGTCTTGGTGATATCCGATCCCAGGGCTACTGCGCGCTAATGGGGCGGTTTCGAACGAAGACAAACGAGAGGCGTCGCGGGCAAGATAACGAGGAGACGGCGCAAGAGTAGACGACGGCCGACGGACGGCCAGAGAACTCATGGCACGGCGCTCGGGGGACGGATTTTGAGACGGTACAGCGGATGATGGGCCGAAGGGCGACAACAAAAATGGGGAGGGCACGATAGGTGGTAATATTTCTGGCAAAGCTAGGGGCGAAGGCGAAGATGACGACGGAGAGTCGTGTTTTGGGCTGACGGGTCGCTCGCGAGGGGATGATTGCTGCACTCCCTTCCGCTTCGGTCGCCGTTGGGGAAAGGAACAGCAAAACGGTATGCCCATCGTGTTACTCGGTGCGTGGCGCAGATGGTTGACGGTCTTCAAATATTCGAGTCGACGTGTCCAAGAGTCATCCAAAGGAAATTCGAGTAACTTGAAGAAGCCATGGCTGCCTGTTCGACAATGTCAAGACGATGCGCGCACTGCACCGAATATTGAGGGAAGGCGGGTTCTAGCTTCGTTTTTTATCATGTTTTAGGTACACGTACGGTTGAGGAAGGCGCCATGATATGATGCAAATTCAAGGCCCAAAAGTCAGATCGCCCTCCACAGTTTCACGTAAGAAAACGGCGTATCTCGCTCTCCTAATACAATGCATCAAACTGTACGATGTTACACCGGGATGTTACTTATGCAGTGCCACGTCCCACCCTGCTATACATTGCTTTTGAGCTTGACGAAACTGGAAGCACGGCTAGCCGGACGACCTTTGTTAGGTACTTTCCGTTGTCGGGGACGGAAGGGAGGAAGCGATTCCCTTACCGACCGTCCGGACCAACGAACATTACTTAACAGATAAGTCTTGTTGTTTGGAACCCACCGAGAATCCAAATCAGGAAGAGCCTCCTCAAGTCCCTGTTGGGGTGGTCATCGATCACGTAACACAAACAAGAACCACGGCGGCTCGCCGGGCCCCTTTTCGTTACGGGCCAAGGAGCTGCGCCGTGGTTTGGACAATCAAGGTCGGGACCGGACCGGGCCCGAGCGAAGGCCGGTCATCTCGAGGTGGTTGTTCTCGGCGGATTTACCTGCGCCGCCAAACCCGATCCTCCAAATGTAGTGGTGTGGAAAAACTGTCCAAATATTCTCCGGCGTGGTTGTGCTACGCCTTGGGCGAAAGAACTGTGACACAAGAAGCAAATGTTCAAGCCGTTGCTCCTCAACCCTCGTCACTTTCGCCGCTATATGTTCGGTCAAGCCAAACCTGTCCCATGCGGGCTTAGAATTGTATGGGTTGCCCGTGTATCTGCCCCGGCCTGGATCATCCGTTGCCACCTACTGGCGGCTGCTGGGGCGATGGGGCGAGGACCACGTTCCAGCATTTTCTCCCTGAAACCTTTGCAATACCAAATTTGACAACGGTTGTCCTACAACGGCCCACAAGGTGGAAAATCACCAAGCGGCGTCATACGCCCACCCGGTTTGTCTCACCCTTTGTATCCGGCCGATTTGCCAATGGTGTCAAACACAACATCAGGCCGCTCGGTCTTCGTGGGAATCTGATAGTCCTGCTTCCCCTCGAATAGCGGTTCCTTGGCTCAGAATCTCCGCCATGATTATATCAATGCTCTCCTCAATCCACCCTCGAGTTTCAGCACGCTTGTTTTGAAGCTGGGATGCGGCATCCCGGTAACACTCGGGGTTAAGCCCATCAGCAAAAGACCATAGTCTTCACTCTTTTTCCTCGTCCAGGGCCGACTTCATGTTCCGCTGTGGCCATGAGACAGTGCAACATGACGAGGCCAGTCAGGCACCCTAACCTCAACGGTGGGCTTATTGTGACGAGAGCTTCCATCGCTCGACGATCGAGTATAAGAAGCCGTCCGTAGCCACCCGAACCGTCAGAGAGTCCCTCCTCAGCATCGACCCACATATCATCACATTCCTTACATCAGAGGCTTTCCGGTAAAGCCTCATACATTCCTTTCCAACGTTCATTATCGTCCAGCAAAGTGCCCTCCCAATTCACACTCCTTTCTCCCCCACGTCCTGGCCGGCCCAGATCAAACAAACCGCCCCCCACACCACACCACCTCCGGCACCTACTTACCCTCCCTCACGTTGCACCCCGCAACCCCCACCCGAAAATGAAACACACCACAGCATTCCTCGCCTTCATCGGCCTCACCACTGCCGCCGCCATCCCCTGCACGAGCTCCGCCGGTTATGTGGGAACCGCGCGCCGCGATGCCCTCATCGACAACCAGCCTCCTCCTGTGAACGGTACCGCGCCTGTTGTCGCTGCTAATGAAGAGATGGACAAGCGTCACCATACTGGTGGGGGTGGAGGTGGAGGCGGCGGTGGAGCTGGGAATGGAGGTGGTGGTGGGAATGGAGGTGGTGGCGGAAATGGAGGAGGAGGTGGTAATGGAGGGGGTGGTGGAAATAAAGGAGTTGGTGGCGGCGGTGGCGGCGGAGGAGGGGCCAACGAAACCGGCAACCAAACCGCCGCTCGTGGTGTGTATGCCGCGCAACGCAGGGCTCCCGGAAACCCTGGTACCGGCGGGGGCCCGGCGAGAAAGAAGCAGGATGCTGAACCGGGCTCTAACAGTGGCGACGAGACTGGAGAGGACAGCACCCCGGCTGTTACCAAGGGGGCCAGTAGTTCTCAGAAGCGCGAGCCTGATCCAAACCCAGCAAGCGCCCCTAAGAAGCCTGCCCCTAAACCTGCCTCGGCGCCTAAGCCTGCTGTCAAGGCTGATGGTTCTTCGTCCTCATCCTCATCCTCATCATCATCATCATTCTCGTCTTCGTCTGTTTCTGCGGGCTCTAAGAATTCCCCCTCTCAGGCTCGTGCCGTTTCCGATGCGAATGGTGGCGAGCAGCCACAGAGACGCCACGATGACTCCGAGACAGGAGGCGAAGCTGGCCGCTCTGGTCGGGGGGACACACTCGGCCCGGCTAAAGGATTCAACAATGCTTCCAGGACTGTCGGCGGTGGCCTCCTCGGCAGAGCCAACCTGTTGCTGAACCTTCGGAAGACGGAGGCAAACTAACGTCCAAGCTCGTCAATTCTCCCACCGAAATTGAGTCTGCAAACGTTATCGATCCTGGTGTGGACACCGCGGCAGCTATCAATCAATGTCACCGGAGGAACACGACGGCCACTCAAACCGTGTGCACTTTCTCAGTCTAATACTTGCAGGGGCACAAGGTCATCCGCAGGTTCAATGGCAATATTCGAGCACAAGCCAGATCGACAAGAATGAGAACATGCTCGGCCTGCGGCAGGCAGCTGCTGATTCACGGAGTGGTTGCCGCACTCTTGAAGTGGAGAGATCTTAGAAAAAAGAGCAGAGGAAAACAGACGGCTTAACGGCTCTGAAGATTGCGGGACGATAGGTAGTGAATAACTACTTCCGAATCTGGCCTTGTTTCTTCCGGAAAATAGAGTTGATGTCGTCCGTCCCGTAGCATCATTCCGTGCAACTGCCGTTAGTCATGTCATGTGTGAGTTGTGTCAGCTCAGGCTCAGTCTTGGTTGTCAAGAGCACCTCCGCTGCGAGAATTGGAGCTGTGGGCCCGTGCCTGATTTTACCCCTGGCGTGCCCGTGCGGGTCCACGCGCTGTGAGAGTCTTGGCGACGACACTGGCGTTGTATTCGCAAACAGGCAGGAACCGTCCCACCTGCGGTCATAGAAATGGGCCACCCTCCTCCTGTTGGGCAACTTTCCCAGCCACGCTCACTTGCTTCCTCTATCTATCGCCCTGCCCTGAGACTCGCCCGCCGTATCGTGCGACGTCCAGCACACTTCGCCATGCCCCGCCTTTGGCCCACGAGTCACGACTCGAATAGTCTCCGATTTAGCAACCTGGAAAACCCCGGTTAGCGATTCCCAGGCGGTGAATTTGGCCCCACGTTGCACATCCGCCCCAGCGGCAAACTCCACTCAATTCCATCCCTTGGTTCATCGCAGCTGCAACCTTCCGATAATCAACGACATCCCAATTGAGTTCCATATTGTCCGAGGAACAACCCCTCCAACCAAACCCGACATTTGCGCAACGTGGAACGGCACGGGCGTAACCAATCCATATTACATACGAACCGTGCCGGCGCCATTCAACAGATCAATTGGTGCTGCAACTATGCGACAGTCCCCGTCTGCATTCCAGGACGAGTTTTGCCTTTTCGAGTGATAGGGATGGATGACACCCAGACCACGAATGATTACTCGCGGCAACACACGATGGGGGTCGCTACGACCCACGGAAGTGACGACGGTAGCTTGCAGTGCTGCTGTGGGAAGGAGGACTGCGTCTTTCTGGTGCACAACTGCTCCGTCCTGTCGAGCGTTGAGCGAGATGTCCACACCGCGGCAAGAATGGGCCAGGTCAGTCATCCCGCCACATTCCTTTGATACACCCTCTCTTTGATGGAGGCCCACGTGTACCCTTTGTTTTGTAGTCTTCCCGAGCCCCCGGCCGTTGAAGGCAACGTCGAGATAATGCTACCCATGCATTTGGCGACACCATGCAAACACGCGAAATGGCTGAAATCGGGGCAATATGGCGGTCCCGCCAACCCAAGCCCGATGATGGCCACCCCTCGCTGACATTCACGCTGCAGACTCTGCTTGCCCGCCATGAAGCCTACATGGCATCTGCCGAACGCGACCGACTCGAGCTCACAGCCCGCATCGAGCAGCTGGAACGAGACAATACGGAACTCGAAGCCAAAAACCGATCGGTTGCCGACGAGAACCACACGCTACGAGACGAGCTAGATCGGGTTAACGACACGGTCAAAGATGCCGAGACTAATATTAGCCTTCTTGAGGCGTCCCTTCTCGACTCGCAAAGGGAGGTGCGGCGGCTAGAAAGTGCGACCGACAGAGCAGCCAATCTTGAGCGCCAAATCGCACTACTGGAAGAAGAGCAAGACGTGCTACGGACCACCATCGCCCGTACCGAAGAGGAATCCCGGACGACCATGTATCGCTGGAGGCAAGCCGAAAAGGGTCTTAGTGACCTGCAGGAGCAGCTCGAACGCATGGAGAAGGAATCTCGGGAAGAGCGCGAACGCCACGTCGAGGTCATCGGCCGTATGGAACGGCAGCGCGCCATGGAGAAGGAACTGAATACGGCAGCAGGACGGCTCAAGGGCGCCGCCGCCGCCAAGTCGATGACCGACAGCAGGAGCAGCGGCAGTGTCGTCTCGCATTTCGTGCGAGACCTGTTGCAAGATAATGCTAACCTGCAAGTCGGCATGGCTGAGCTGCGCGAGATGCTTCTCAACTCCAACGATGAGATTCAGATGTTGAGGGAACAGTTGGCGTATCACCAACCGGCGGCCGGCCAGGAACTAAGCTCACCCAAGACGCTACAAGCTGAGCTAGCCCAGAAAGAACCACCGACGCCGCCACAACAGCCGAGGGTGTCGCAAGAGTTACATATTCACCACCACTACCACGTCACCCACAAGCCAGAGGCACGGAAGTCGAGGAAAAGGAGGCAGGGGCTCACACCCGGCGTATTCACCCCACCCCAGCTTTCAGCTCCGAGTTCACCCATCTTGTCCTCTGCTCGCTTTCAGCGTGGTACCCTAGCCGCGCCTTTGTTATCCCCAAACGAGCCTTCCCCATCAACCACTCGCTGGTCTCTCCAATCTGAGAATCACTCCGAATTTGCACCGTCATCAGCGCCCACCTCCCCGCGGTCCAACAACAGGGACTCCCTGTTCGACAGGGTCCCCGATCTACCGTCACCCGCCTCTCCAACTACGACTGCGGATCCAACCTCGCCGGGCTGGAAGCAAGCGCATAGGAAGAAAGTATCGGACTACTCGCTGAGGAGTATCTCCGAGATAGCCATGTTTCCGGCGGACACAGCACGGTCCGCACATGGTTACACACAGCGGCCACGCCCCATGTCCCGCTCAATAATGAACGATCGTTCACAAACGGCTTATACTTCGCCGTACACCACCGACGATGTGCCGAACGTCACTTCCCCATCTCTCGCTGCCTACACAGACTATGACAGCAATAACGACACTGGTCTGGAAGACACATTCTCACCGACATCGTCTCATTTCGACTCCAGTGTTGAACAGCGGCCTCGCGGCCTGCGGCGAGTTATCTCGCACGAATCCATTATATCCCTTTCTAATGGGCTCGACATCCACACCCTCAGCGCACGACCCAGCCAGCTCTCCCTCAGACCACTCGGTCTCACTACCGCGGGCACTAACGTCAGTGCTGTCATCGCCCAACCAACACTCCTAAGCAGCAGCGCCGAGGGCAAGAGAGGGAGCGTCATTCTCAGGGACAGTATCGCCCAACAGCTCTCCGCCCAAAAGTCACGGCATGGTGGGGGCAGGGTTGTATCGAATCCCAATAGGGGAAGGGCTTCGGAACGGGGTTCCGGGCGGGCTTCATCTCGGACACCCTCGACGTTGGGGAAGTTGGTCTCTTGGAGGCCCTGGGGGGCGAACAGCAGTAATGTCGATACCGCCAACGATACTATCACACCTGGGACGAGCCCGTCGCCAACGCCCGCCCTAGATGCGTCTACATCGGTGACTCCCGCGGTGGCCATCCCCACACTTTGCCTCCCCGACGATGCGGGTTCCATCGCCACGGTCTCTACGACGAGCAACAACCTTAGCAAGTCTCCCCAAGGTAGCCTCTCATCAGCAGGCTACCTCAGCTACCCCGGCAACAAGCGCGAATGCGGCACTGGCGGCTGTGTTTCGCGCACCGGGTATTAACCAGCCGGGTCCAATCCCGGGATTCCAAGAGTACTGGGCCTCACAGAAGAGGCGGGGCGCGCCGAGCAAGGTCTCGATTGATGACAGCGCTGGCGTGCAGGAAGCGTTGAGAGAGGTATTGGAGGAGGATTAATAATTTGATTTGAACTAATACCCTAATAGTACGTAGTTGGTGTTCAGGGCATGGGGTGGCTGGGTTTGCATCCGCGGAGGCGCATATACGAGCCGTTTTGTATTTTGGCCGTTTTGCATTTGAGGGCCAAAGCTGGCAATATTGATCTGGTTTTGCATAGCACAAGGGGGGTGCGAGATGGTCATGGACACGGCTCCTTTAGTTTTAGATACCCGCGCCGCAATAAGGTGCATTCGATTGCTTGCAATGAGGGATCGCCGTCCAATGTTGCACCAGTACGTTCGCAGTTATTTCTAATTCCGTAGCGGTCGATTCTTCAGTGTATAGGTACCATAAAGAAACAGATATGCGTGCAGTCCGCCTCGGGTACGCGAGCACTGGTCAAGTTCACCTTCTCAGAACTAGAGCTAAATAAATGCCCAGGCCCTCCACCTCTGTTCTGTCCGCCCCTTCCATCCTTTCTCCGCTCGAATAACTGTATGAGTTTCCTGGCCGCATCGCAGACCGCGTCCAGACAAACATTACCGCCGCTCTTACATTGCATATTACTACCCAACACGAATCAAGCATACAAGATCATCTCAAATAATACCATGAAATCCACTCTTTGTTCAACTCGGACTCCTGTCCTTGGGCTCTTTCACCGGAGCCGCCCCCGCCATCGATTTCCAGCACGAAGCCGCGGCATCGGAGCGGATTCTCGAGCTGCAGACGCAATACCACCAGAGCATTTACGGCATCATCAGTAACCGCACGACAGGCTGTACCATCGACACCCTCCGCGCCAGAAAAGAATGGTAAGTTCTCTATCCCCAAGCAATCAGTCCCTCCTCAGCACTCCTATCCATGCCACAATCACACACCCCAACCAACCCCATCCCCAAAGCAGTACCTGCCTAACCCCTCCCAACCACCCCCCACAGGTCAGCGCTCACCCTCCCCGAACGCACCGCCTTCATCGCCGCCATCCACTGCCTCAACGCACTCCCGGCGCTCACCCCACACCGCAAAGCCCCCGGCGCGCGCACCCGCTACGACGACTTCATCGTCACCCACATCGATCAGACCCCCTTCGCGCACGCGTCCGGACTTCTTACTGCCCTTCCACCGCCACCTGATCCACCGTTTGTGAGGTCCTGCCGCGAGGAATGTGGCTATGCCGGCCCGATGCCCTACTGGGATTGGACAAGGTCGTATACGGTATCCGAGGGCGGCGGAGGTCTTTGGTGGCGGGGAGGGGTCGTTGGGGGGGAATGGCGTGTTTGTGGCGGGGAGGAGGGAGACGGTGATTGTGTTGCCTGGGGGGAGGGAGATGGTGATTCCGCCGGCGACGGGGGGTGGGTGTGTGCAGACGGGGCCGTTTCGGGAGGGGGTGTTTGAGGTGCGGTTGGGACCGGTGGGGTATGAGCCGGCGGGGCCGGAGGGCGGGCTGGGGTATAATCCGAGGTGTTTGACGAGGATTTGAGTCCGGTGTTTAGTTTGGGACGAGGCCGAGCGCGGTCACGGCGTTGGTGGATGGGTGTGGGGGGGATTTGGGGTGTTTGTGGAGGAGCTGGATGCGCCGGGGGGTGAGCCAGGTGGTGTGCATGCGTCGGGCCATTGGCAGGTTGGGTTGAATGCGCTGGATGTGTATGCGAGTCCGAGTGACCCGGTGTTTTGGCTGCATCATGCGCAAGTGGATCGGGTGTGGACGATCTGGCAGGGGCAGGATCCAGCGGCGCGGACGTACCAGGTTTGGGGGACGGGGACAGCGGCGAATGGTGAGTGATTTGGGATGGCTGTTTGGGATGCGGACTGTTGATGCTAACGCACCTTTGCAGACCCGCCGAGTGACAACGTCACGCTGGACACCTCAATGGACTTTGGTATGATCGGGGACTCGAGGACCATTCGCGAGGTTTCGTCAACGGTTGATGGGGATTATTGCTATGTGTATGAGTGAGAGGCGTCTATGGTAGAATGGGTGTGTTACCTAGCCCGGGCGGGAAACTGAAGGTTTGAAGATGGAGTTGAGTTGTTAAAGCTTGGTTAATGCATACATACCCGGCACCATTGATATCAGGCTTGAGGCAGTTGCAGTTGCCAACAGTAATAGACGAATAGATTCTTGTCCACCGCACAGTTATGGTTTCATATCTCAACATACTCGTGTAGGTAACGGACTAAGTGGCCGTTTTTCCAATCTCGTGAATACCTGAAGCTGCGGTTCGGGCATATTCATGGACACTGCCAGGTTTGGAAAGAATTCTTTGATGGACATACTTACGCAAACGACTCCCACTCCCTCCCGTCCGTATTATGGTCCCATTGGCGATATCTAGGTACCTACCTATGCTTCTACATTACCCTGGTACCCATTGTCAAACCCAACAGTTGGCGTAAGCCGCCTCTGTTACCCCAACATCAACCCGACGATGCCAAACACGGCTAGCTGCGCGTGATAATAATGACTAAAGCTCAGCTGAACAGGAAGCGAGCGGAGGTGTCTTGGCGGTGAGGCAGTGCGTTGCCTACTTCCTCCCTTTCCCCACGGCCCTCAACTGTCTGCTCTGTATCCTCGCACTCTCTGGCCAAAAAAAAAGCCAAACTCCAAGTGGAGGTGCCGCCGAAACTTTGGACGAAAGGAACGAAAAGAAAGCTATTCAAAAGCCCAAAGTCTGCTTTTTATTTGACTCGGTTTCTACTTAATTTGTTTTGCTCGATTTTCTTCACATCTTCTTTTTCTTTTCTTTTTCTTTTTATTTCTTTTATTTTCTTCCTTTTCTCGACTTTTTTCTCCCCTTTCGATTTCGGCTTTTTTTAGCCGAGGAGGGCCTCGGTATTGACACAAACAATAACCGGGATACGAGCAATCATGGAAAAGCTGCCAGAAACCGAAAAGTATGCCCCTTTCTCTTACAGCGCGTCAGAGATGAGCACGCCGGACACTCAGTTCCGACTGCTAGAGCTCTTGCCGCCCATCGTCGAGCAAGACGAGCTCTCGTGCCGCATTGTCGTTCGCCAACTGGTGGAATCATCGCGGCAATACAAGGCGCTTTCATACACTTGGGGCAATGGATCCTTGTCGCACTTCGTCGCCATACTCCCTGAGAATGGGGGTGAAGGCCAACGAAAGGCCCTGGCCATCACGGAATCTCTACACACCGCGCTGGTTCATCTCCGCCATCCCAGCGAGCCTGTTTGGTTGTGGATCGACCAGATCTGCATCAACCAGGAGGACCACGCCGAGAAGGGAAAGCAGGTTGGGATCATGGGCCCTATCTACGCCGGCGCTGAGCAGGTGCTGGTATGGCTGGGCCCGGCAGCGGACGACTCCGATCTCCTGATGGAGGCCTGGCAGAGCGTTGGCCAAGCCGCTCGAGACTTCGGCTTAGAAAGCTATTACACCAAGGAACGATGGCCTCTGCTAGCCCGCATCCTCAACGCCGAGGACCCCACGGATCCAAAAACAGTCGAGTACGGCGTAATGCTCAAAGCCGGCGCCGAAACCTTTGCACCCCTCGTCCCAAAAGAAATCTTCCCAGCACTGGTTCGGCCGACCCTGGTTCCCGCGCGCCTGGACCGTCCAAGAGTTCTTCCTCTGCGATAACACCCTCTTCGTCTGCGGCACCAAGACCATCCCCGCCGAGCTCGTCATGATGGCCATCCAAATCCTACAATACTCCATTTCCCGCCTCTACGAAGCCGTCTACAAGCCCGCGGAAGCCTCCCTCCTCCTCCTCAACGAGCTCAACGACGAGCCCACCGGGCGGCTCTTCAGCTGCCGCCAGCGCCGCCGCAAGCACGACCGGCGCGAGCCCGACGCCCCCGGCGACGCCCTGCACGCCCTCATGCGCAAGCTCTACGTCGAGCACAACACCCAGGCCTGGCTGCACCGCGACCGCGTCTTTTCGCTGCTCGGCCTGGCCGTCGATGCGCCCCACCTCGCGCTCACGCCGGATTATGCGGAGCAGGACTCCCCCGCGGCGGACGCCCGCATCTTGGCGCGGGCGGCGCGCGCGATGCTGACGAACCCGGTGACGGGGCGGCTGGATATACTGAGCTATGCGCAGCCGCCGAAGCATCCGGATCTGGCGCCGCATTTGCCGTCGTGGGCGCCGGATTGGAGGGCGAATCTAAGGCGGTCGTTTTATTATGTCCATGAGAGCGTGTCGGAGCATTTGTTTGCGGCGTGCGGAAAAGAGAATTTGGCTGTGCGGCCGCTGCCTGTTCCGGACGTGGAGGGGAAGAACAGCTCCGTGGTCGGGTTGGGTGGGTTTTGGGTGGATAGCGTGGCGACGGTGGCCGACGGGTCGGCGTGGATAGATATGTCGTTTGGGGCGGATCGGTTTGCTTCGTTCTTTGCGCAGGTGGACGGGCTGTTTGAGCGGGGGATGGCGGAGCATGCGGATGTGCCGGAGCTGTATGGTGGAAACGCGGAGCGCCGGGCGGAGGCGCGATGGCGTGTGCCGACCGGGGATCTGTTTTGGACGCGGACCGCGGATATGCACCGGTCGGGGGCACCTGAGGCGGAGGTGGCCCATCGGCAGTGCCAGGAGATGGTGCGTTTCTTTGGGGAATGTGAGGGGGTGGTGGAGCCTGAGGAGCAGGCAAAGAAGTTCAAGGAGTTCGATTGGGATGGAAAGAGGAAGAGGGGGGAGCTGGGGTCGTTTTATCAGGAGAGTATGAGATATATGATTGGGAAGCGGCCATTTCTGACGTCGGAGGGGTACCTGGGGATGGGACCGGATGATGTTAAGGAAGGGGATGTGGTGGTCGTTTTGTGTGGGGGAAGGATTCCATTCATTCTGAGGCCGACAGAGTCAGAGTTGGAGCTGCCTAAGAAGACAAAGCTCTTTGAGTTTGTGGGAGAGGCGTACTGTGACGGCGTGATGGACGGGGGGGTCGTGGGTAAGCGGGAGTTGAGCGAGTTTTATCTGATTTAATGTTGGTTACTGGTCGACAGCCAAAATAACCAACTTCTAATGAGGCACAGCAAGATGAAAACCGATAAGTGCAAGGTTAGCATTATAATTCATTTCATTCTATGAACGGCTTCAAGTTAAACTATGTCTAAGCTTTAAACCAAGATCAGCACAGGAAGACCCGGCATCATGGTTTGGTTCAGCTGAAAGAAGCTAAGTTGATAATATAAGCTGACTAGTCAAACCCTCCTGACCAGTTGTGACTAACGAAGAGGAGTTCAATAGCTGCCCCGGGGTTTTGAGGACCACCGCTACTTACTCTTTGGCCAACTGTCGAGTGGGCAATGGTCTCCCTTGCGAGTTAGTTATGCGGAACTAATACATAGAGCGTGGTAGGTACGTGCAGACATGATGATCCAACTCCAGGAACCAAAGCTTAACATTATTGTAAGTGGCTGTCCGGCCAGAATCACATGCATGCTTTGGGTGCCTTCATACTCATGAGCGAGAATGTCTAGGGAGCTATCTGGGCTACGTAAGTTCATTAAAGCGATAACTAACTTATACTCGACTCGATCAAAATTAGCGATTACATGGCTCTTGTAGCCCTTTTTCGTCCTAACCTCCGCACAACCAAAGGTTTTATTTATCCCTTCTGGCCCACTCTTCCGTACACTTTGCCACCTCTATCCACTCACCCAAACGGCATGTCTCACAAAACCCCCAACTAATCAAGAAGAAGCAGGGGGCGGCGCGGGTAGGGTGTAGTTGCCGCCGATGTCGAGCAGGTAGGCGATGCTGTTGAACTCGACGTCGATGCTCTTGATCTGCCAGAAGCCCTCGTCCTTGGTGGCGCCGAGGATGGTCACGCCGCGCACCGGCTTCTGGGCCTGGCCAAAGGTCGCCTTCCAGATCAGGGCAATCTCGTCGCAGGAATAAGGCGACTTATGCGTAATCACGAGAGGGAGGTTGTCCGGCTGGGTGAATGTTAGTTGGGTAGTTGGGTGATTTCATTCAAAGGGGAGTAGGGGGTAAGGGGTGCCAGTACCTGTTCGTGTTGGTGGTCGATGAACGCCTTCTTGGTCGGGAAGGTTGCGCTACCCAGTGGGATGCCGGCCAGAATGTTGATGCTGTCGGAGGTGTCACGGAAGTTTTCGGAAAGGTACTTGGCGTCGGTGTCGTTCCAGTGCGAGAGCATGCGCACATAAGCATCGACTAGGACGTCGACGTCGTCAGTGTGCAGGCAGGGCGTGTGGCGCGCCTCATTGCACTTGCCCTTGCCCTTGCCCTTGCCCTTGCCCTTGCCGTCACCAGAGCCTTGGCCGTTGCCTTTGTGGTCGCCCTTGGGCTGACCCTTGGACTTGGACTGGTTGCTACCCTGGCCGTGCTCCTTGCCCTTGGGCTTGGAGTTGCTGTCACCCTTGCCCTGATCCTCGCCCTTTGGCTTAGACTTCCCCTCGCCTTTGCCTTTTCCTTTCCCCTTCCCCTTTTCCTTGCCCTCACCCTTTCCCTCCCCCTTACCTTGGCTGCTGCCATGGCCTTGGCCCTCCCCACCATGCTCGCCGCTGCCATGGTCAGCTCCTCCACGCATACGGAGGAGGACCCCATCCCCGCTGTCCTCCTCATCGTCGTCCTGGCGGCGGCGAGCGCCCTGTCCGGGGTAGCGCTTGTGCTCATCGTCACGCCCCAGGAGGCCACCCGGCACGATACCGCCAAGAGCGGCGGTGGGATCGGAGCCGCCGGTCGCGCCGGTCGCGCCATCGGTCCCACTGGGGAGACTGTCTGTTCCGCCGGTGAGGCTCTCAGTTCCGCCAGTGAGGCTGTCTGTCAGACCAGCGATGGGTGAGGCGAGCCCGAGGCCCGCCAAGGAGAGGAGGGTGATGGAGCTGATGAAACGCATAGTGGCTAAACGAATGTACGAGCGTAAAAGATTGGGTTGCTCTGGTTGCTATGCGATGATGTGGGATGGAAAATCGAGGGGCCATCATCAGCATTGGGTAAGTCGTCGTCCTTTTATGGCACCTTTGGGCATGCCCCCGCGGCGGTCGGATACGAAGTTGGCCGACGTCGGGACTTCCCCAAGTGTGGCTTCCGAGCTGCCGTGGTTTGACGTCCGTGTGGCTGATCTTCATGTATGATTCCATGGGGCATCGCAATACAGCAGCGGTCCGTGGGTGACGATGAGCCTTAGCCCGTAGGTCAGCGGCCGCGGTGTCAAAGCCGGCAGCCGATAACTCTAAAGGCAAATCACGTTCCATCATGTGCATACCCATAAACTGTATGGAATTTTGGTGTTTCCTTGAAGAGGCCCTCAGCTCGTGAACGCCACTTTCGGGTCTCGGAAGCGACATGTCTCGGACCCTCTGCTGATGATGCATCCTTACCTAGCCAGGAGCCGCACCGAGTAGATTACGAATTGGTTGGAAACCCGCAAGTTGAGTCTAGTGGGCAAAACATTTACAGCAGACTTGCAGCGTCAAGCCGGATTCAGGTTCCGATTGCCCGTCAAGGAACTTTTTTGTTGGAATTTTGCCGCGCGGTGAGCCATCCAACACGGTCCCGAAGTGGCCAGCAGAACCCGAAGCCCCATTCCTTTCCAGGGTCATGCTGGCCAACGGCGTCCAGCCTGGCCAATCGTCGAAAGATCTGCCTTTTCATCGTTGGTGCTTCTTCACAGTGACGCAGTGGATGCATGAGAATCTTTGGGCGTGTACTGCAGGTCCATCACCGATGATGCCGTCGCCAAATTGGGTCATGTTGTGCAACAACTCGTGTCGGTCACAATCCGCGGTTGCTCACTCAGTCCGGGCAATCCCTGTTAGAGCCAGTCGCACAATAAGCAGGTTTGGTTTTTTGGGATTTATAATTCTCTGATGAGATATTTGAGGGTATTAATAGAGTATGTACGTTTCGGAGAGTCATTTACCATGAGGTCGAAACCACTGCTTGCATTAGGTTTAAGTTCGCCCGAGGTAGGATGTACCAGTCCTCATAGTCCTTCGACGAGGTTGAAATAGAGTTATCCACCTGTGTGGTGGAAACAAGCTTACCTGGGCGAGCATGGATGTCAAGGGAAAATTACGGCGGCCCAGTGGGTCTGGGGAAGAAACAAGGGAAGTGTTGCAACCACGCAGCCTTGCATTTCTGGTGCCATCTGCCCTGCTGCTTTTCATTCAGCCAGACTTGCCAGATTAATTACAGATTGCGGGAAGGAACCGTCTGTCTCGGACACATTGTCCCAAATCGAACGGAGGCAATTTTTGGATCCATGCTACCCTACTCCACTTCCACTTTTAGATTTTGATGCAACCCTCCCATGTTCATGAACCAAAGTTCTTCAGTCGAATACGAGACATGCGTAAGACGGCTCGATTGTGAATGCCGCGCCACACTGCAAGCCACAGTGACAGGTTCAAAGCGCCTCAATCATGCCGAAATCGCTCCAAACTGGACCTGGAGAACGCCGGCCATGTCTCTATAACGCCGTCTTTAAACCCCGGATCTGCCCAATCCATCCTTCAAAATTACCAAAATTACCGCAGTCATTCATTCCTCACAATGCTGGTCGTACAGATCATGCTGACTCTCAACCCCGATCATCAACCTCATCACCTCCGTCGCCGCCAATGCTCACCCGGAACCTGCGTGCACACGCGCTGCAACACCATTAGCAAATAAGCCGGCAGACAGAAACGCGGGGATAGGATCACTCACCTTCCGCCGCTCTCGAAACTCATCATAAAGCCGATTCCACATCTCCCTCTCCACACAACTCTCCACCCCATCCCTCAAAAAGCAATCCGGTTGTTTATCCCCCCTCGTCTTCTCAATATCTAACCACGGCTTCGGCACAGGCCAGTCCGAAAAATGCACAAACTTGGCCTCCTCAAACACCGCCACCGGATCCCACACCTCATCCTCCCGCCCCAAATACCGCGCATGCGCATCGGGCGCCTCCCGGAACTCGGACGAGAGCAAGTCATACGGCCGGTGCGGCAGCACCAGCGCGCTGTCGCCGTACAGGTAGTTGACGATCTCCATGTCGTAGTCGCTGCCGCCCGCCTGCGCCACGCGCGCCATCACCCGCTCGAACTCGGCCGCGCTCGGCTGCACCAGCATCACCTGCGACGAGAGTACCTTGTCCTTGGGGTAGAGCCAGTAGGCGCGCGGCATGGCGACGGGCGCGGGCGGGAGCAGGAAGAGCTCGTCCATGCTTTGGAGGAGCACCGAGTCCGAGTCGAGCGAGAGGACCCGCGCGTATTGCGTCTGGTTGAACGCGAGCAGCTTGGTGAAGGATTCCGCCCAGGTTTCTAGACCCGTCGTCAGCATCAAGACACACAATCCATCTAACCCTGCCCACACTCTTTTTTTCTATAAAAAAAAAAAAAAAAAAAAAAAAAAAACCCACTATCATCCCCCTCACGATGCTGCACCTTAATTGGCACCAGTTTCACCCCATACTCATCGCGCGCCTTGATCAGCAGCCTCGCGTTGGCGCTCAGCCGGCCGTTGCGCCCGTTGGCCTCGGCCGTCTGGCTTGGGTCGAACATGTGGTGCGGGTACAGCATGAGCCGGTCCGCCCGGCTGCCCAGCTGGTGCAGCCGCTCGAAGAGCATCACCGAGTTGCATAGATAGTGGCTGTCGAGTCACGTACTGCGTGTACGCGAACTGCGACCAGTCGACGGCTTCGCCGCTGTTGTTGTCGTTGTTATTGTCGGTCGGCGGGTTGGTGCTGGAGTCCTCGCTTTGCGGTGGCGCTGGGGGGGTTGGTGGGGTTGGTGGGGTCGGTGGTGTTGGCGGTGCTGGCGGTGCTGGTGGTGTTGGTGGTGTTGGCGGTGTCGGCGGCGTCGGCGGTTGTATTGGTTGGACAACGCCGGCCCCTGCGTCTGCGTCGGGCGCCGGGCTGCCCTCCCTTCCCCACCCTGCCGGGATGCTGGAAAGGGAGTCGTAGCGGTGCCCGAAAGTGAGGAAAATGCACACGATCAAGACGGCTGACACCAAGAGACGTATCCTACGCGACGACAGGGGAGCGGTCACACCAATCCACCATTGTGGCGATGTTGGGCTGTCGGCAGTGGTTGGGCTTCCATTCAGGGGTGAGTATCCAAAGACCCGGGCGAGCATCGTAACGGCGGCCGTCGCTCGTGTGAAGCGGGAGCGTGCGTCGACAGCGCCGAGCGGCGGGACATGGCAATTATGTGGATGACCGGGAAATTCGGCTTCCTTTGGGATGCAGCTTTTTTCAGCAGCGAAGGAAGTGATCAGCCCTGCAGCCTGGATCCGTCGACAAGGGCCAATGGCCCGAACCAACAAGATCGAAACGAATGCGACCAAGAACGCGCGGTTCAGAGTGCGCTAAGCGAAACTTGGCTGCAGCGAACCTCTGAATACGACTCCAGGCGGCATGGAAGCTTGGCTAATTTGTCAGCCTGCACGCTCAGCTTTCCCGTCAGCTGAGTCTGCAGCCCACCACGTTGACGCGTTGAAATTGTTTCTCGTCAAATCCAAACTATCGGGTCTGACGGAGCCACCACGACACAGAGCCCGAGGCGGCCGAGCGAGGAAAATGCGCTGCTTCGAGTTGCTCGACGTCGTCACGGCAAGTCCAATGGAATGGGATTGCTGTGGGGAGAAATCGTTGTTCGCGAATGGCAGGGCGACTCTGAAGAAAAGTTAGGTAGTCAGACTACTTTGCAAGCGATTTTAAAATGAGCCACATCATATAAATTGAATCCACTGCTTTAAACACAAAGCACTCACATCAAAGCCCCGAGGTCGACACGATTGACGTCGAATCCCAATCCAGTATCCTTCAGCCGATCTCCGACCGTCTCCAGCATTATCCCTCCCCCCATCTTCCCATTCCCCACCCAACCGTCTTAGCATCCCCGACTCCCGGGTAGAACGTCCATATTGTGGGCACAAGTTTGCGGCGAATGTCATGCAAAAACGCTACTCCCTCCCTCCCCGCGCTTCATTCCTCCCTCGCACCGCTGTACTACTCTATACGGCTTGGCACTCCGGTGCCTGATCGTCTCCTTCTTCAAACAAGTATATTAGAAAAAAAAAAAAAAAACGCGACCACCCCCTAGCCGCGACCCCCCACCCGAAAAAGTTTTTATAATTAGGAAGGGGCGGAGCTCGAGTAGAGCGCAATACTATACGAGGAACGCGAAGACGTTCTGATGTTCCATCGTTTAGGAGT